CATGGAGACTTGTGCCAACCTTTCTCCTCCTTTCAGCTGTTTTAGAGAGAGGCTGTGAGATGGGAAGGGAGATGGGAAGAAACGGAGGAGGGCAGCCGCGGATGTGTCTGGTGGGCTATATGATCAACAACCACCCTGCAAGGGAGGCTTCTTGTTCTCCAACTGCACTCCTGTGGGTACCAATGGCTCTGCATCTCACACAATAAAGAAGCACAGCACTTCATCGTCACAGAGGGGCCTCCTTTAGGGACACCCTGGACAACCTAAGGACCAGGATACTGTGCCTCTCTCACGGAGAAAACAAACGCCTATGAGAACAGGTCACAGTTGCAGTTCAGATCTGAGTTCTTACCAAATCCAGACAGAGCCCGTCCTCGGGGTACAGGGGAACAAGCAGAAATCTGCTACTCAGGCCCCACATGCCTGTGCTTTCAGACAAGGGAAACATTGGCGACACCCCTCTCTGAGGAACACTCAGCAGCTTTGCAAAGCAAATGCAATCACAAGCCAAGCGCCTAATGCTGACATAACACTAAGAACAAGTCGGAAGTGTGGGTGAGACTCAGCAGGCAGTGCGGCACGTGCCCAGGGTGCGTGCGGCCTGGGTTCATCCCTCAGCAGCAAACGGGAGAAAAAAGAATCTGGGGGAAGGAAAGGGAAGGGAACAGGAGGCATGCCTTGAGAGGCTTCAGGGAAGCAGGGCAGGACACGCTGAACAAGATCTGAAGAGACAGATGGGGAAGGCAAACACGTGAGGCAAGGGAATATAAAAAGACATAGAGGGGCAGAGACACCAGGCTCACAGACCATGCCAGAACAGACTGATCTTAAAGGGCCGGACACAGGCAGGCAGGGCCCTGAAGGAGCAGCAGGCAGCGGGAAATCGCCTCTTGAACCCACAGTGGTGGGGTCCACAGGAGCCCTGAAGGGCTCAACCGCTGAGGAGGAAAATGAACGAATAACTGGGTCACTGCTACTTAAGGGACAAAGGCTCAGGCTGGGCAGGTGCTGGGACTGAGAGGCAGAGGGGATCAACTGTGTGACCCAAAGGCACCATCTTCAGCGTGTCTGCGCTCAGTGGCAAGCAGTCCTACCAGGGACAGAGAAGCTGGAGTGTGGACAGGAGGGAAAGGGGGAGGGAGGCTGGGGCAGGAGCAGGACTGGACATGTGTGAGTGCGGGGTGCGCAGAAGCCATCAGAGCCCTTCCATTACACATCTCAGCTGTCCACGGGGACAGCTGTCCTTGACAGAAAAACAGACCAGGCTCTCACACTCTGGCCTCAGAGTTCCCCTCTTACATACCCAGTCAGCAGGGCCTCACACCCTGGCCCTCAGAGTTCCCTCTTCCATATCCAGTCAGCAGGGCCTCACACCCTGGCCCTCAGAGTTCCCTCTTCCATATCCAGTCAGCAGGGCCTCACACCCTGGCCCTCAGAGTTCCCTCCACAAGTCCAGCCGTCCAGCCAGCGGTCTTTTTTTTTTTTTTTTGTTTTGTTTTTTTTTTTCGAGACAGGGTTTCTCTGTAGCTTTGGAGCCTGTCCTGGAACTCCCTTTGTAGACCAGGCTGGTCTCGAACTCACAGAGATCCGCCTGTCTCTGCCTCCCGAGTGCTGGGATTAAAGGCGTGCGCCACCACTGCCCGGCTCAGCCAGCGGTCTTTAACACAGCTCAGGAAGAACCTAAGTCTCTGAGTCAGGGTCTCACTCTGCACCCAGTCCAGGCTGAATTTGAGATTCTCTTCACACATTGCTATACCTGGCCGAGCTTTAAAACCTGTGCTTTGTCCTAAAATTTCTAAGCAAAACATTGCCGCCCCCGCCTCCCCACACCCCCCACCCCCGCAGAATGTCAACCTTTGCCTGGTCCTGACCCCTCATCTGTGGAGCACACAGGTCCTCCCAGGAGACTATTAACCCTTTGTGCAGGCAAGGGAGCCAAGCAAGAACAAAGCCAGTCTAGGAAATGTGTCTGGCTGAGCCCTAAGGATGTGGACATCATCAAGGAGCAGAGCCGTCACAAAATGCGCTGGGATGCGCACTATCAGGGGCGTGGGAGCTGAAAAGAAAGCTGAACTCAACTCTTACCTCTCCCCCACTAACTGCCCTCAGCCCCGCAGTAGGAAGCTGGCCCTTTCTCTGCAGCCATTTCTAGGCTAACAGCTGACTAAAACACCTCAGAATGTCAAGACCGTCACTTCAGCTCTGTTTGTTGTTGACGCTCAAGCCAGCAGTGAATTTTCATTAACTCTATAGAGATGCAGTTAAAAAGTGTGCTCCTGTCTCACTAGGCGATGCTCCCTCAGTCACAAATGCGGGCTTCACAGGAACAAAGTTGTAACTGGTGTACTTCCTTACTCCCAGCCTTTGCCTGGGAGACCACAACACACCTGGGTAGCGCTCCCCTCCCCCTTGAGCTACAGTGGGGAAAAAAAAAAAAAAAAGCTGGGCATGGGGCACACACCTTTAGTCCCAGCACTTGGGTGGAAGAGGCAGGCAGATCTTTGCGTAAGGCAGGCAGCCTGGTCTATAGAGTGAGTTCCAGGACAGCCAGCGCTGTCTCGAAAAACCAATTAATGATATTAATAATAGTAATAAACAAATAAAGCACAGCAAATGCTGAGGCTCTTATGCTCCAAGTCGCAGCAGGAAAGGGAGAGTGGCATTGTGTAAGACTGGATAACAGAGAATCCCAGTTCTGGAAGGAAGAAGGAAATATATTTTATTTTCACACCTAAGAAAAAAATTAACCCCAGAGGAAGTTAGCCACTGCCAAAAACATAAGCAGTTTACAAGCGGCTTGATTTTAAAACTGGGGTGGCTACCAACTTGAGTTTATGCAAAAGTCATGCATAGAATTTGCAAAGCAAACTTCCTAATTTTGAAAGCAATAAAGGAAATCAGGAAGTCTGGACACTGAGCAACCCACACACCTTTTTATGAAATCCAGGGCTAGAAGAGGCTAACCTCTGCCTCTCACCACAGACTCACACAGAGATTTTCAAAAAACAAACTCTTTACATTTATTAGGAGAAGGGCAGTATGCTGCCAGAGCGCGGGTGTGGAGGTCAGAGACAACTCACACCAGGTCTCTCTCCGCCACTTGGGTCAAATCACTGAACTAGGCAGCAAGTGCCTCCCCAGCGCTCCCTGGAGCCAGCTTATCAGCCCACATCAAGTTTTTTCACACACCAAGTTTTGGCCAACATAGCCTGCCAGCTCCATTTTGGTGCCTCCCCACACAGGTGCTCCCTGATTTCAGCAGCCTTGCGGACTGAACAAAGTCAGGTGACTTCCCACTGAACAACCCAGCCTCTGTCCAGTCCCTCTCTCCCGCATGTGAAGAAGGAAACGAGACACAAACTGGCCACTGCAACAAGAAAGCCAGTTCAGCAGGCCACAAGGGAGGGAAAGGAGTAGACAGAGTCAGTGGCGGGTGGAGCTAGGTGGTCCCACAGGGAGAAGTTCCAGCGACAGCCAACTGCTGCCAAGAGCCACCCTCCAGCACCAGGCTCCAGCCTGTCCCAGCAGGAATTCCTGAACTTCTGTATGATTCCTACCACATGCATGCATCCTCTAACAAAACTCCCTTCAAGTCCAGGGGGGGGGGGGAGTTGCATGCAAACAGAAGAAAGGGGGGAGGGGGGCAAGAGGCCAAGCCAGCATGTGAACAGAAGAGTGTCTTTCTGTCTAATCATTCACGTAAAATATTTAGGGGAAATACAAAACTATTTTTAGGATACAAAGCTCCCACACATAACAACAAGCAAGGCCCACACCTGACAAAGCTGTACAAGGAGCCGTCTGTGGTCAAGGATGCAAATGTCCTACCCCGACAGGCGTGGGCGGAGACTACTGTTAAAACTCATCAACTGCACAGCTATTGAGGCCCTTTCGCTGTGCACAGGTAATACTTCAATCGGGAAAAGAGCAAGCAATGTTCCCTTGAGAGGATGTTAGTTTTTCTTTTGCATTTCAAGGCTATTGATCTAACTGATCTCAGAGCACACTGCAGAGGAGAAGCTCCAAGAACAGGAACTCCTGAGCGTTTCCACATACAGAGCAGAAACAGGTAACAGTCACCCAGGGGCAGGAAGGAGGGCAGCAGCCAGGAATATCAGTGCACAGTTAGAGTTCCCAGCACTTGGAAGCCTGAGGCAGCAAGATCATAAGTTCCAGGCCAACCTGGGATACTCATTCTGACAGGAATGGGCACAGGGCCCCAACTGGAGCAGAGTTCATCCCCTACTGGGTGGTGCATGCTCTGAGCTTGGTGCCAAAGGCACAGGTACACCCTCGTGTGTGATTTCCACGGTAGGTGCACTCTCCTGAGTATGCCATGTATGGCCATATGGGGCTCATATCTTAACTGTGACATCAAAGAACGACATGAACGCTCTGCGGTCATTTACAAGAGACTGAAAGCAGGGCTCGGCCTCTTAACCTAGTGAATGTTGTCAGCCCAGCTCAGATAGATGACAAATAAACACTTTAGCTACCTCATTGTGGAACTGGGTTTGGATCATGGACTTATTATTTGGTGGAAAAACTTAGGTAGCAGCGCCGCTTACTAACACATAGGGAAAACTTCATCACACAGTACTCAATCCTGAGACCGCCAGAGGTGACTTCCCTCAGGACCAGAGTTCTCACCCAAACAAGCATCACATGGAAGAAACCATGCTCCCTGTCTGCAGCTACTTGAACAAAGAAAAACCAGCAAAATCCACAGGAAGTGCTGGGTCAGGATCCCACTTCTGTGTTCTCCAAGGGGAACAAGGAAAGCTCTCAGCCATCACCCCAGAAACATTGCAACAGCACAAACGCATAGATCTGCAGCTTCAGAGGCTTGTATTTTAAAAACCATAGAAGAATCTGGGCACAAGTCACAAACACAGAAAGAGCAGAGCAAAGGAAACAATGATAACAAAGAAGAGATTTGCAGATCATCCACATTTAATCTTAAAAAGAAGCCAGAGTAAACTGAAACGTGGGGTACTTACAGCCATAATTAACTCAAAGGGGTGCTTATACACCCTCACTGGGGACTGGTATTTCTGCACCATGGTTGTAATTCAATAGCAATCTTCTTACTCCTGAAAAACAAAAATATGTGTAATAAATATCTACATTACAGAAAGTAAGAGAGTCGGAACTCGCGTATCACGCCACATCCTAAAGAGACCACCACAGGTTATAATCCTAAGAACACACTACAAAGACTAAAGTCGGTATGCCAAAACAGTCTGACGGGGCGGGGGGTGGGGGGAGTAACAAGGCATTAAGAAAATGCAGAGGAAGCCCACATGGAAGGATGGAGCCACCCTGGTCTGAGGGGGGCCCTCTGTCCCCCGCATCTAGTCCTCCACACCAATGAAATCCTAGGATTCAAGGATTCGATTATTTAACTATGTTCTCTTGAACAACTTCTACAAGGACCCAAACAAAAATAGTAACATATTAAGACATAAGCTTTGGGGATGACACAAAAAGTGGGGTGTGGGGGAAGCAGCTGACACGGGCCTGTGGGGGGGATGACACCAGACACTGGGCAGGACCACTGTTTCTCAAATTTTGGAATACTTAAGAACTGGTTTTAAAGGGAACTTCTGTTGCTTCCTGTTTCCTAACCCTATGATCCAATTTCAGAGTCTCTCTTCAATCAGCAGGGAAGCTGCCCAGCTTCAGCTGAAGGGGCTCCAAAAACCTCCATCCTCCTAAAGCCTTGGCCCTGCAAAGGTAATCAATTACAGGCTCCAGCCTGAGGTCAAGGAACCCTCCTTTGCATACAAAATCACTCCAGGGCTTGGCAAGGGTGACTTTCTCAGTAAACACCCTTGTGTTCAGAGTCAGCTGGAGCGTTTTGCTCACCTACTTAAAAGAGAGGGAGAAAAGAAAAAGAAAGAAAAACCCAGAGAGACTGCCAGTCCTGCTAAGGTTCAATCAGTAAAGATGCTATTTTATCTAAACACGGTGTAAAGACCTTCAAAAGTTCAAAACCGAGCATCTAACTATCCCAACTTCCAGCTGTTAAAAAAAAAAAAAAAAAAGAACAACAAGCCTACGCTGATATATTTCAGAGAATTGCAATCGATATAGCTGCACTTCTACAATGTTTACACGCTTTAAACAGGTCTGGAACTTTCTCTACTCCGTGTTTGCTTGGCACAGCACTAGGAAGAAGCAAGCAGGTTAAGCTGGAAAACCACCCTTCCAACAGTTGGAAAACTACAAAGGCTAGTGTCTCTGGGTGACCTCAAGCATGCCCGATTCGCCTTTCCTGATTCCATCTCTGTGAGATGATCATACACTCCCAGCTTTCAAACCATAAGGCCGTGAGCCAAACTCCTCGGTTCTCCTCCAAACTCAAGCCTTCATTAATCTTGATTCAGGCGCTGACGCGTCCTGGAGCGCGGAGACCGCGTTCCACTCACTCTCGTAAACCTTACGATGCTGTCGCTCGCTGGGGAATCTAATCATCGTTTACATTTTTTTAATTGAGAAAATTAGTTTTCGGGTTATCTCCCAAATAAAAGGAGGATGATTACCAGGTGCAGACGGTTAGGGGAGAGGATGCAAGCACTGCGTGATGCCTGTATTAAGAAACTCTTACCCAAAGTGACTACACTGAAAGACCAGCTTGCTCGCCAGCTCCCTGAATTCGGGCAGGTTCTCGGTTTGGGGAGCCTGGTCCAGATCCGCTCCCCAAGCGGGCATCCGGAGTTGACCACCGCCAAATGGCACGGGAGGCCCGGGCTGCCTCTATTGCATGATGATTGGTGTTTGAAAATCAGCCCAGGGTCGGCCCCGGGGGAGCGCCTCCCAGCAGGCCGGGGCTGGACGGAGGAGGGGGCGGGCCAGATCGGGGCGGCGGCGGCTGAAGACCCGGCCGGCTCTGCCGTCCCGGAGAGGGCGAGCGCCCGCGGCCACCTCGGCAAAGGGATCCGGACGGGGGCGGGAACCCGGGCGCGCTCCTAGCTCTCCACGACGACGCGCGCTTACCTCTTGTCAAAAGGACCGGGTCGGGGACACGGGGCGGCGGGATGCGTTCATGCCGGCGGCTCCGCGGGGAGAGAGCCGTGCCAGAGGCTCGGCTGCCGCCGCTAGACCGCCGGTTCCGGGGACGGGGGCCGGGGCGGGAGCGCCGAGGGGCGCGGCGAGGGCTCGAGTGGTTGTTACGGGTGACGGGGAGGGAGGGGCGAACCCCGGAAGGAATGCGCGTGCGCACACCAGGCCGAGGGGCGGAGGAGGGAGCGGGAGGCCGTTGCTAGGGAGGGGATGGGGGGGGAGGGGACCGCCCGGCTGGTGCCGAACTGCGCCGGCGCGAGTGCCCGAGCGGCGCGTGCGTAGGAGGAGCTCAGGAAGTCATCTGCCCAGAGGCGAAGCGAGCCCCAGAGGCTCCTCCTCCTTGCGTCACGGGGAGGGGAAGGGCGATCGTGATGGGCGGGGCTTCGCAATTGTCAGCCGCGAACCGCGTGGAAAATTCGAATGCGAACCCAGACTGGGGTGCTTCCGCGGAGCTGGAGCTTGGACCTCTGAGCGTCGTCAGCTCAGCCGGTTCTCCATCTTGGCTGCTGTGCTCCTGCTCCGTCTGGAGCATCCCCCATGTTGCTTCCTTTTTTCAGAAGCCTCCTGCACCCCTTTGGTACCCTGACCACATTCTGGTCTAGTAATGGAGACGGGAGCAAAACCGGGCGGAGAGGAGCTGGGTGGAACCCAAGCACCCTTGTCAACCCATCCAGATGGCTGGGAAGTATCGGGCTGTGGGATGGATGGAGCTAAGGTGAGGGCCCTCGGTGGGGTGCTCGGTGTGTCTTACTTTCCAGCATCGCCAACTTTAAAACTTGAGAACGACACACAGGAAAGTTTAGGGGCCCTGGGGAGGGACACGGGACTACAAGCGGACTCCTGGCACGTCCACCCACACTACGAAGCTGGTTTTAGAAGCAACACACAATTTCTCCATCAATGTCTGTGTTGTTCCGTTCACATTCGTCACCCCGGGCAGTTGTCTTTGCATAGAGGAGTTTGGGAATTTCCTTCAGGGCCTGTTTACCCACCACACAGGCCTGTCATTCATTGCTGGATCACACTGTTTTCCAACTCAAACCATCGTTTCCCAGTTTTGCTACCCACGTTACTCAGACCGGATGGTGACGTGTCCCTCGTGTAGGGATCATTCCCCTTCCTTTGGAAGAGACAGGTTGGTAAGATGAGCCCCTTGGGAAGAGCGAATGGCCAGCATCTATTGAGATGGCTTTGTCCAGAGCCCACCGTTCTGACTAGTTAGTCTACAGATACACCCACAAATTTACAGGAAATGGAGGATAGAGGGTGGGGCTAAATGACACCTTGGGGAACAATCTGAAAAGCACAGACTTTAGGGATACAAACAAACGTTCTTTATCAAATAATCTCTAAAGAAAGATGAGGGCAAGTCTAATTGCCAGATTAAGAGGAATTGGGAAATTCACTTATCCAGACAATTTATGCTCTTAACTGCACTGACTGCTATTCCAGAGGACATGGATTTGATTCTCAGTACCTACTTGGCTGCTCATAACCATCTATAGCTCCAGTCTCCAGGGTCCTGAAGTCTCTTCTGCCCTCCTCTGGCTCTGCAAGCCTGTGGTGCACAAGCAAACCTGCAGGCGAAAACATCGTGTACCTAAAAAGAAATTAAAATAATTTTTAAAAATTAAGAGAGAAATATGCCTTCAGGGGTACATGCTGAAATATTTTTACCTGAAATGATTTAACATCTAGAATTAACTATAAAACAATCCAGGGGAAGAGAGGGAGGAATAAGAGCATTAGTAAAGGGCTGGAGAGATGGCTCAGTGGTTAAGAGCATTGCCTGCTCTTCCAAAGGTCCTGAGTTCAATTCACAGCAACCACATGGTGGCTCACAACCATCTGTAATGAGGTCTGGTGCCCTCTTCTGGCCTGCAGACATATACACAGACAGAATATTGTATATATAATAAATAAATAAATATTTTAAAAAAAAGAGCATTAGTAAAATAAGATTGGTCCTCAGTGGGTGTGGTGGTACATGTTTTTAATCTCATCATCAGGCAGAAGCAGGTGGATTTCTGTGAATTAGAGGCTAGTCTGGGCTGTGTGGCAAGTTCCAGGCCAGCCAAGGCTGCATAGTGAGATCCTGTCTCCAAAACAAACAAAACCCAACAAAATAAAACAAAACCAGCTGAGCCATCTCACCAGGCTACACTAAAGTAGCAATTCCAAATAAAAATATTTGTTTAGATATAGAACATGCTATATTTGAGAGAGGGTGTGGTCTGGTTTTTGTCTGTTTGTTTTGTGGCACTAATGTTCAACCCAAGTTTTACATAGGCCAAGCAGATAGCTTGCCACTCAGCTTACAAACCCAGCCCATTTGGTTATTTGGAAATCCACGTGACTGCTCAGGTGCCAAACATCCACAGGGACCTGATGAATGGCTCTGGGGCTTGTGATCTTCTGCACACGAGCCCCGAGTTCTCACCCCCTGTCCACTGGGGACGACTCTCACCAGAGGGAAGTGTGCTAGTGTGCTGTGACCCCGTTTGGCTGCCCATGACCGAAAGCCAATAGGGAAAGTGCTGCAGTCAGAGACACTGGTATCTCAGCTTGTGTGAATGAGGCCCAGAGCTGGCCTCTAACTCTATGACCAGCCAGCAGTCAGCACCTCAGACAAAGGCCCGAGTAACCTGCAGGTGGACCAGTCACACCATACAGGTGTCTGGGTGGGAGGGAAGGTTCCAGGTTCAAGGCTTTCCACTCACTCAAGGCATAACTCGTGACTGAGGTCTAACAGATCTAATAGGACTGGGTTGTGTTTGTGACATATTGTTTAAGGCAATGGTCCCAGTCTCGCTGAGTGAAAGTGAAAGCAAACAGCGAGGGAATTGTTAGCTCAGGAGAGCAGTCTGATGTCCTGGGGATGGGGGGGTGGAGGGGGCACCATTATTTGCCAAAATGAGACTCTTGTGCTAGAGTAAATTCTATATAAATCTTGTGAAACCAACGCTGATGCTCATATTAAGTAACAAGAATTTCCATGATATAAAAATGGTAAGTCACGTTGGCACAGGAAGTCTAAGTCTCATTCCTGAGGACTAAGCCATGTGGATGCAAGGGTCTCATTGGAATGACATAGGGACATCTGTCCCCACTGACTTGTGGCTTGGCATCACTACAAGGAATCTGCCACCTCCAAGTACCAGCAGGATGGAGTGAAGAGCAAATGTCCTGTCTAGAAATAACACTTTCCATTGGCCAGAATTTATTCACGTGAGCACACTTAACGGGCAGGAAGGCTGGACATGCAGTGTAACCTACGCTCCAAGTTACTCCAGATCAGGGTAAAAATGAATAGTTCTGTTCGCTAAAAAGAGCTGAGAATGAGTGCTGAGGGCAGCCGGCAGTCTCTCGTTAACGACGAAAGTTAACTAGCTAGTCTGGTTGAGTTTGAATGTGAGCCTGAAAATGTTTGATATAAAAGGAAAGAAGGACTGGGTGGTGGTGGCACATGCCTTGCCTTTAATCCCAGCACTCCGGAGGCAGAGGCAGGAGAAACACTCTAAGTTTGAGGCCAGCCTGGTCTACAGAGCTAGTTCCTGGACTGCTAAGGCTGTTACACAGAGAAACCCTGTCTTGAAAAACAAAAAAAGGAAGGAAGGACTGGGATGTAGCTCAGATGATAGAGTACCTGCCTAGCCTTGGGTTCCATTTCCATCCCTGGCATTGCATAAACTGGATGTGGTGGTCCAGACGTGTCCATGCAGGAGGTGGAGACAGGAAGATCAGAAGTTCAAGGTTATTTATCCTTAGCTATGTACCAAGTTCAAAGCCAGCTTGGGCTACTTAAGAACACCTTCAGAAAGAGAGAGATATGTCATAGGAGAAATAGACCTGGAAACAAGCTTGGGCATTGAGGAGGGGCCTCACAGAGGGAACATGATGAAACAGGGATTATCAAAGGACAAGATGAAGTTAGCAATGGGGGTATTTTATCCCAAAGAGTGTACACACACACACACACACACACACACACACGAGTGCAGTTGGTTTTTTTACTCTTCACACATTGTGGGGCCCACCACCCAAATAAATCACACAGAGGCTTATTCTTTCTTAGGAATGTCCAGCCTTGACTTGGCTTGTTTCTAGCCAGTTTTTCTTAAATTATCCAGCAACCTTTTGCTTCTGGATTTTTATCTTTCCCTATTCTATATACCTTTCTTTCCTTCTTACTCCGTGTCTGGCTGTGTAGCTGGGTGGCTGGCCCTTGATGTCCTCCTCTCCTCCTTCTCTTGCCCCTCGACCTTCTCTTCCACAATTTCTCCTATTTATTCTCTGCCTGCCAGCCCCACCTATCCTTTCTCCTGCCTACCTATTGACCATTCAGCTCTTCATTAGATCAATCAGGTGTTTTAGACAAGCAAAGTAACAGAGTTAAACAAATGCAACATGACAGGCTCCCCCAGCACAGGCTCTCCCAACATCACAGTAGTAAAGAATTCATCAGGACTCAGGGACAGAAGACAGACCTCAGTGGGTTGCAGAGGGAATGAGGATCAGGATATGATATAAAGACTCAAGTCATGTGACCAAACTTCATCTTCTTACAAAAACAAAAACAGAAGAGAACCACCCAAAGTGTTTATGGGTTGCCAGGGTTGCTCAAGTGGCACTTCTCCTTTCTTTAGATTCCCTGAGTGAATGATGTCACCTGTGGGCTGACAAGGGCGGGTTAATGCTGTGTGAGTCCCACCACACAGCCAGTGAGTTCCATCAGGTAGCAACTGTGGAGAGGAGGGCTGCTTCTGTGCTCTTGTCTGTACACACCTCCTCTCTTCCTCTCGCCAGAGGCTTATCATCATGAGAGAACTCCTAAACATCTCAGGTGTCCTGATAGATGCTGACAAGTGCCCGTGGGACAAAGGCCGAGGATGACCCAAGTCCCAGCAACCATAACAAGGTTCTTTCTCCTTTGGGCTGCTGAGTTGTTGCTCTAACCCCCTCCCCATCAGAAGCCTGGGCACCAGGCTATCATTCCTTGGCTCTTCTGGCTCACATCCTGGATGCATACCCTCAAGGGCCTCAGCATCTCAGTACCACAGCAGGTGACTCCTTCCCCAAGCAGAGGTAAGGATGCTGGTTTCTAGGCCAC